CGTACCCTTTAGCTTATCCATAACTGAAGTTTAATTTTACTTAGCTCTCTTCCGCATCAATAAACAATGAAGCTTCTTTGCTTGACGATATTGCGCGGCCAGATCCTCTTTGCGTTACTGTATCATCTTGCGATATTGAGCCTGATTTGGGTGCTTCTGCTTCTTCATCATGCTCTATTATTTCGTTCTCACCACCAACGCCTCCTTCTCCAATACCGCCAGCATCCGTGGATTCATCTATCACAGTTATTGACGATGAAAATACTGCCATTTCCTATCAAGAGAAAAATCAGTCAACTTGTATTTCAAATGCAGCTCCAACTATCCAGGATCCTTCATTTTTTAGACCATTATTACAGTCACATCTTGATTTCAGAGTGCCAGACAATTCGAATGACCTTTCCCATCTCAACAATATAGAGCGACATAACAATAGAAATCAAGATTCCAATGCCCGGCTTTCACAGGTTTATATGTGGATTGGTCAGCGAGCCTCAAACAAGCAAACCTGGCCTGGAATGCTGGACAATATGGTAAGAGATTCTCTTATCACTTTGCATTTTACTGGTGTCGTACATTGTACAAATGTTCGTCAGTGCACTACTCTACATATTTATGAGTCAAATATCTTTAGACAAAATTTCTTTTGCTTGTTTGGCTGAAGTCTAAAATTATTTCTTCCTTTATATTGTCTTATTTTTTATCTGTAGCATTGATTTTGAATAGGAAAGAAGGTGGCTATTCTCACATCTCTAACTATGCTTTGTCTGGCATGATCAATTTCTGCAAGAGTCTTTTGCTTCTAGATCGACTTTATGTTGTCATATATTTTAACCTTCTATGACTTTTGTACTCAGAGGATTAACAAAAATCCTGGCTCCTTTCTTCAATCAAAAATATTTAATTTTCAAGAAATTATTTCATATTTTCTTCCGTTATTCTCAAGAAGTTATATGTCTTATTAACATTAAATAGTGCTAATGGGATTTTTTAAGCAAATTAAAACGTACACAAGTAACGGTTTTAATTGTGATTACATAATCCCAGTTTTAAAATCTGTACGCTAAAATATATTTAAGCTAATCAGAGATAAAAAAGAATAAACTTAGTATATATAAATGTAAACTCGATGATAGACATCTTAGTGTAGATAAAATGTGCTTAATTCCTTGAAATACATACCTTATAAACTATAAACTATTGAAAAAGGTAAGAATCGTGTTTTTACGAT